AGAAGGGAATGGCAACCCCCTCCAGTATTCTTGCCTGGAGAATTCCATGGACAGAGGAGCCTGGAGGGCTACAGTCCATAGAGTCACAAAGAGTCAGACACAACTGAGCACATATGAATACATTCTTACACTGAAACAGCTGAAATTTGAACCATAATGAATTCTGTGTTGTAAGTTAGCATCTCTTTGTTCCAGTTTTTTCCAATGAAAATCAGTAGAATAAAGTGATAAAAGGACTTAATATTTATATTAATAACATTAATAGTCTAATATTTTTAATCCACATTGCCTTTTCTCTAATAACACACACTCAAGACGCTCCTCAGAGTAAGAAAATAAAATACTCAATTTTCTTAGAGGTATAGTTCCAGATTATCAGAAATTCTAATATTCAAAGGTAAAAAAATAACCTAGACTATTGTTTCTCTAGCAATTTCTCTTGCTATTTCTGTAGCAAGAATAATTGAAAATGATTATAAGTAGGAGATAGTATAGTGTAGTATAGTCAGTCTTTTGAACCTTACGTGTTTTGTAGAAATTTTTCAAGGGCTTGGTATTTTTCTTTTCTTTACAAGGTACATTTTGGATTACTTTAGGTGCAGAAAAGACTGACACATTTTATCATTCTTCTGGCGGGCTGGAGCTCTATGGAGAACCGAGACATACTGCATATCGCTCAAGATCAGATCTGGACTATCCAAGGTCTCCTTTACCGTTTCAAAATAGGTAAGAGTTTGATAAAATCTATACTAATGTTGTTATTGTTCAGTCACTAAGTCATGTCCAACTCTCTGCGGCTTCATAGACTGTAGCACACTAGGCTTCCCTGTCCTCCACTATCTCCTGGAGTTTGCTCAAACTCATGTCCATTGAGTTGGTGATGCCATCCAACCACCTCATCCTCTGTCACCCCATTATTATCCTGCCCCCCAATCTTTCCCAGCATCAGGGTCTTTTCCAATGAGTCAGCTCTTTGCATCAGGTGGCCAAAGTATTGGTGCTTCAGCATCAGTCTTTANTCCACTATCTCCTGGAGTTTGCTCAAACTCATGTCCATTGAGTTGGTGATGCCATCCAACCACCTCATCCTCTGTCACCCCATTATTATCCTGCCCCCCAATCTTTCCCAGCATCAGGGTCTTTTCCAATGAGTCAGCTCTTTGCATCAGGTGGCCAAAGTATTGGTGCTTCAGCATCAGTCTTTACACTAAATTAACAGAATGAAGGACACTGTTGGGGCTTTGACTTCTTTGCAATGAAATAGCTAAACATGTCTTTAGTTATAGATTGCTTACATAATCTAATGCCCAGAACCAAAAATAGTTTTTGCATTTGTAACTGGTTTCCAGGGGTAGAGCAAACAGAGCTGATGAAGTGTTGTTCAGTATATGTGCTGTGGCTGGACATTAAGAAAGGCATGAACTGGCATTGAGTCTTTGGAATTATGAAAAAAAAATCCTGAAGTTTGCAGGACAAGATGTGTTTATACATACCCATCCTTCATTGATGTTCCCTGTGACAGCAGTGGGCCGGACATTCTTTTGATGACTTAGTGACTGCTTTGAATTAATTGACAAGTTTTTTCCTTAACACAAGGCAGACTCAGGGGTGGGGGGATATATATAGATTGGGGAGTATACATGTGGTCTGCCTTTTGAGGGCAGGGTGGAGGTAGGTTGGTGAGTTACTTGCATTGTTTCTGGATAATTTGGATTCATCTTCATATTTTTAATCTCATAGGTACCCAGGCCTTCCAGCCGATTTACACCCTGGTTCCTTAGCATGTTCTCAGCTTCAGAATTATGATCCTGACAGAGCCCTGACAGATTATATCACGCGGCTAGAGGCACTGCAAAGACGACTTGGAACTGTACAGTCAGGTACCCTCAGCTTAACCAAGTATTGGCAGCACCACAGTGCTAGATAGACCTGAACTCTTTCTCTTTTTGAAATTCTTTGACTTTCCTCATTAATCAAATTTTGTAGTTCAGTGAATGAGTTATCAGGCTACACTTTAGGAATTTAAGACAAAAGAGGATTTATCACCCTGGATCCCACTCTTCCCCCAGAAAATCCCTGCTCGTCCCATTGAGAAGATTAGGTGAAATGCACCATGAGCACTGGTGTGCAGACACTCTGGAGCTTCCAGAGTGATTGGTTCTGAGGCACGCAGACAAGGCCCAGGGAGGTGAGAGGAAGACGCGGGCTCTTTAACCCCTCGGCGCAGCTGTAATCTTTGTTCCAGCTTTGTGCTCTTATGTGTGATCCGAGGAACCCAGCCCAGTCTAGAGACTCTGAGGATGACCTTTTACTTTTTCTCCTCAAAAGCACACACAAAAAATTTCATTCTTAGAAGTGGACTGTGAGAGAAACCTCTTTCCCTCTCTTCAGTTCACCCCTGACTCAAAGGTTTTGAATCATTTTAACTTAATGACCTTTAAGTCAACTTTCATACACACACACACACATACACACATATATAACTATTATTAGAGACCCTTTTTTCTGCTATTCCCACAAAATAGATAGGACTCCTCACCGGTTATTTTTAGTAGTTTATCTCTTCATACAAGAAATTGTCTAACTCAAACAACTTGTTGCTATAGGAAACTTTTATCATCACAGCTGGACTTCGTTGGCTTGAGCATCTAAGTTTCACAAGATGTTAAAGAGCAAAATATTCTATAGAACAATCAGTCCGCAGGGCACTTCACAGAAAATCTTAACGTTAATCTCACTTAGCATGCTATGGAGCCAGCCACAGATTGTTTTAAATATATATATTCAAAATCTCTTTTTAAAACAATCAGGTTTGAATAAGACTTCTTTAGGAGAAAACAAAGCATTATTGTTTTAAATGATAGGGAATAATCTTCTGCCCATCATGAACTAGTCAGTCTAAGTCACAATCTGATTTGAAATCATTGAACTATCCTGTTCCTGTCTTATAGGTTCAACTCAGTTTCATGCTGGCATGAGAAGATAATCCTTTGAAACATCATGAATTGATTTTAAACAGATTTCCTTTTGTAAATCAATGGTTCTTTTGTGCTTTTGTATTGTGGATATTCAATGGGACCAATGCAAACACAGCTTATGATTGTATACAGAGCCCTTGCCAGCACATGAAAACAAACTGGAATTTGTACATATAAGCACTGTGTATGTATTCATGCACAATAATCATTCAATTACATGTATATTTGTGGAATGCTAATTTAAATGATTAAATTATACACACTGTGTTATTTATCTAATGGGTGAAAAGATTAAACTTTTGGCGCTGTGATACAGTCGAATGTGTAGCTTGAGGTGTCCAGCACTTTTCTTACAAGGCTGCTGAAGTTACATGTTTCTGCCTAATATATTTGCTACTGGTGATGAAGACAGATAATATCACTTGTAGAGACCTATTTTTGTATAATGGTAGAAGTTTTGAATTTTATGGGGTATTTTGTCAAGTACTGAAATAAAAATGACTTCACTGTTTTAACTGCACTGTATTTGAACCTTTTTCATTTTTTTAAATAATTTAACATTTTATTACATTTTTATATTTACAGCACATGGTCACTTCTACAAATTATCATGTTCACAAGAGCTTAGGATGCAAAGCTAATGTTGCCCATCCTTCCTGCTCCAGCCTTAGACTCAAGAATAGTTTTGATCTTTCTAACTCTTTTGGTAGACAACTACAGCCGCAGTGTGTGCTGACGCCTGTCCTTCTGGACGTCTCGCCTCTCGAGACACTGCACCCAGTATGGCCTGCTGACTCTCCAATGAGACAGTTAACCTTTAATTTTCTGACACTGGGCTTCCTTTCCTTTCAGTATCGATATTATAGCTGATTATTTTTTTGGTCTGCTGTGATTTTTTTTTTATTACTTTAGAGACCATCTTAAACCTCTGTTTTTTTCCTTCAAGTTTTCATAGTAACTTTTTATTTTCCAGTTCAAAAGGTGAGGATATTAAGGTGTCCCCTCTCACTCCCCTGAAATCTCCTGAAGCCAAACTTTCCTGTCATAGTGCCAAAGGGGTTAATATCTCCATGTATCTTACAATCAGCACCATATCTGCTATGTTTTTGTCCATACCTTGACTTTAAAAATTGAAAATAAATAAAGCATCTCCAGCCTTAAAGCTATAGAAATGCTCTTCTATGTCTTTCCATAAATACTAGGATCTCACTTCTTTAAGCCCATTTTTATGTTATTTTATTTTTTCTATGCTTTCACTGTCCACTGACCACCAATTCCTGGTCAGAGAACTAAGACCCTGCAAGCTCCAAGGTGCAGCCAAAAAGAAACTTCTTCATTTTAACGAGCCTTAATCTGCTTAATCTGCTGAGAGTCTGTTTTCCTAATTTCGTAGACTGTCATTTTCTGTGTCCTCACATGGCAGAGGGGCAAGGATAATCTCTAAAGTCTCTCTTATGAGGGCACTAATCCCACTCGTGAGAGCTCCACCCCCTTGACCTCATCACCTCCCCCACTTACAAATATCAAGAAACTGGGGGTTCACTTTCAGCGTACAAACCTGGAGAGACAGAAGCATTCAGCCTATGGTAGTACATATCACCGTATTATTTATCTCAAATATGTAGGATTTAGAGATTCAAAAAGTTGTCCTAATTTTAGAATTAAACATTACCAGGATTTTTCTTTCCCCACATCAAGGAAGAGTTTTCCTTGTGTCTTTGTATCAGCTTTTAAGTCTACATACAGTGTCGTTTAGAAGCCAAATGGGTATTTTTGTGATTAATCCATATTCACCTAATGAATTTACCATATTTACACAATATTTTACACATATTTACACAAATTTACCAGATTTACATCAGTCCATATTTACCATATGTAAATTCAGGGTTATTTGTATCCAGAGGTGTTTCCTCAAAGCCATGCCCAGAGATGATGCAGAATCTCGGATTTTCCTAAGCACAGTGCATCAGTTAAGCAGCGCTCACGCTCTCCAATCCAAAGACGCACTCATAGAGGCAATCAAGGTCTCAATGTTATTTCTTCAAACTAGTCCTCCTTGATAACATGGCTACCACTAAAACAGCAAGGAGACTGGTATCTGACACTTAACTTCCAGAGGGTTCTGTCTTAACATTAGATAGTTTACAATTTATACCAAGACAAACAGGCAATCTGCATTCTTAGAAATTTCAAATTACCTAAATTTTCCATATTAGCAGTTAAGTTCCAATAACGTGTTCTAGAAGTTACAAATGTATTCTAAAACAGTTGAAGAGAGGAGCTCATGGGTAAAACCTTTTTTAAGCTAAGCACAGCTTTCCATTCAAGGTGATTCCACTCTAAGGGAGAATGAGAAAAGAGTGAGTGGGTACCTCTGATCAGTTTCACTCCCAATTGTTTGCCCGTCAGCATCCTTATAACATCAGGCCTCCACAGTCAGACTTGTTAATGCTTCTCAATAATTATTCTGTAGTTAAAAACTAAATTTTATTATAACTATTCACTAAACATGAGCCAGCCTTACCACAGAGTTTTAACTTTTTTGTGCCATGAACCTTTCTAGCAATCTCATGAAACTATGGATCCCTTCTCAAAATAATGCTTTTGGGATGTAGACCATTTTTAAAATCTTTGTGAATTTACTACAGTATTGCTTCTGTTTTATGTTTTGGTCTTTCGGCCCCAAGGCATGCAGGAACTTGGCTCCCGACCAAGGGTCCAGCCTGCACCACTTGCACGGGAAGGTGAGGTCTTAACCACTGGACCACCAGGGGAGTCCCCAGAATAATGTTTTTAAAAACATACAGTATATAAGATTGCAAAGGAAACCAATTATATAGACATACTCAAAACTTAAAAAAATTCTAGTGGTGAGTAAGAAATAAGATCTAACAGTCTTAGAATACCATAATTTCACAGTAGTGATAAAAGTTAAGAGATATCTATAATGTGATATGAAAAGTATCTGATTTCTGTTTGCAGAATCATGGATACTGCTAATACTAATGAGGTTACATAAATTCATGAATAAAGGAAATTAGTACAAATAAAGATGGCATTTTTTTTCCCATCCCAGTACCTAGATTCCTGAATTTTTCTCATTGAATCACACACTTCATAATTTATGAATACAGACTATATTCTCAAAGATAATTTAATGTGAAAAACTCAACAACACACATTTTGCCTTCACCAATAGCTTAACATGAGACCGCTAACCTTTTAAACAGAACTGTAATACACAGTCACATCTCCAGTTATAATTTGAGTTGATTCTTGAACACAGGCTTCACAGAATTTGACCAGTGAGATACACTCCCAAGAAACCCTGCACTGTATTACCCTTGTCTTAAAGCCAAAGTTCCTGATCTCAGGTTTTGTATTTAACAAGGAAAAAAAAAGCTTGTTAACCTAAATTAACAGAACTAGTCACAAAAACCCCTGATTAGATTCTAGAGAGGATATGGAAATCACCTTGGGCCAAAGAGAGCAAAACTTATCCTTCAAGGACTTTATTTTGGACTTCCACACCAATGGAACTATGTGGACCCAGATACAAATTTATTAGGCAGATAAATATATGATATTCAATAATTAGATCTAGTCACACAAAATTAATTTTGTATTATTTTTTAGGAAATATAATTAGTCATTGTCAGAAATCTGTTTCCTATGGACAGTGCTTCTAGCTATTTCAAAGGCTATATTTTCCTACAATATAGCTCCATCATTGCTAAATATCATCATACCAAAACAATAGGATTCTCTTTTATCCAAGGCTTTAAATGTGAGTTTATTCCCTCCCCATCCATCCTTACATATACATACACTGCCCAATAAATGAATGAATAACCTAAGGCTTCCAGATATTTCACTGGGCTTTTATACTTGGAGATCTACTACGAGATCTAAATACTCTGAACTTTCTCGCCAAGAGCTATGTATGCTCTTTTAACACCTGGAAATTGTGTCATTTAGAGTCTGCCAGTTAACAAAGATCCTCACCACCAAACTAATGAGCTTGATTTCCTTAAAGAGAGCATATGAAGTATCCATCATAAAACTATTAGGAAATTTCTGAAATTCCTTGGATTTGATGGCACTGTTCAGTTAATACATAAAAACCATAAGCTTAAATAAACTTATTTAAAATTACAAACTCAAAAAAAAAAGAGTATACTGGGAGTTATTTCATAAACTTCATTCTCTTCAATGCTTTTGCAGTTTACAGTGATGTTCACATTTTAGTTCCTTGCTACCTTTTTCATTTTGATCTTCGTTTGTATCGGATAACTGGGTTTTCAGGGGTGTGAATCATAGTTGTATAATTCACAGTGGGAAAATACCCATCAATGAGATCAAATTCATATAAACGAAGCATAGTGGACCAAATTGTCTTGATTTGAACATAGGCAAAATTCTCCCCAATGCAACGATGACGCCCTACAAAAGAAAAAAAAGTTTCTATAACAATTGTTTGAAATTCTTTCTCATCTCTTTGAGTCTAGAGTGATAAAATTTGTTTATCTACAGTTAATTAAAGGTGAAAAGCAGATATACAGATACTATAGTAAAGAGACATATTCTTTTCATAACAATGTAAGTAACCATAAAAATCCCAAGAGATTTTTAATGTCTCTTAGGGGAAACAGCACAGGGGGGTATTATACAATGATTTTTCCAATTGTTTTTTTCCTGAAACCCAACATCTATCTAGGTTAAATATATGTAACGTTTGAAACACAATGGTCATCAAGTTTGGAGATATACTAGAATATTCTGAATATTAGAATATTCTCTTCTCTCCCAAGAGACCCATAGTTAAAAGTTAATATGAACCTTCCAATCAAAACTTTAAATGCCATTTCAAATGATAATGGAAAATGGAATTTAATACACTGAAAATAGCAAGACCTCAAAATGTAAAGGGTCATATACATATAAAAACTGACAAACTGATTGTAAAATGCAGAGACAAATGCAAAGGACTAGATCTCCAAAGCAGTCTTGAAAGAGAAGAACCATGTTGCAGGACTTACGACTTCAAATATGACTTCACTACTAAATGTTTCACAACCTCTGATAATGTGATTTGTAATAAATATGTATTTAGTCTTCCATTCTTGGCACAGTGTTCCTCAAACCACAGGAATTTCTTAAGTGAAGGGAGCAAATAAATGTCAAAGAAGAAAAGAGCCATTTGTTATTTATAACAGGCCCCTTTCAACCACAACTTGAATTTGCAAATGAGGTGACTTTTGGGGGTAGGGGTGGCACACCCAGAGAGGGCATGCAGCTGTGTACCCTTTCCTCTGCTTTGCTCCGCGCTTCTCTTCAGTCAGGCTATTCCCAAGTTGTATACTTGTGCAGTAAACCAGCAGTCCACCTGAACTGCCTCCTGAGAAACCTGTATGCAGGTCAAGAAGCAACAGAACTGGACATGGAACAACAGACTGGCTCCAAATAGGAAAAGGAATACATCAAGGCTGTATACTGTCACCCTGCTTATTTAACTTATATGCAGAGTACATCATGAGAAACGCTGGGCTGGAGGAAGCACAAGCTGGAATCAAGATTGCCAGGAGAAATATCAATAACCTCAGATACGCAGATGACACCACCCTTATGGCAGAAAGCGAAGAACTAAAAAACCTCGATGAAAGGAGAGTGAAAAAGCTGGCTTAAAACTCAACATTCAGAAAACTAAGATCATGGCATCTGGTCCCATACTTCATGGCAAACAGATGGGGAAACAATGAAAACAGTGACAGACTTTATTTTCTTGGGCTCCAAAATCACTCACTGCAGATGGTGACTGCAGCCATGAAATTAAAAGGCACTTGCTCCTTGGAAGCAAAGTTATGACCAACCTAGACAGCATATTAAAACACAGAGACATTACTTTGCCAACAAAGGTCCGTCTAGTCAAAGCTATGGTTTTTTCAGGAGTCATGGACAGATGTGAGAGTTGGACTATAAAGACAGTTGAGCACCAAAGAATGGATGCTTTTGAACTGTGGTGTTGGAGAAGACTGTTGAGAGTCCCTTGGACCTCAAGGAGATCCAACCAGTCCATCCTAAAGAAAATCAGTCCTGAAATATTCATTGGAAGGACTGATGCTGAAGCTGAAACTCCAATACTTTGGCCACCTGTTGCAAAAAGACCCTGATGCTGGGAAATATTGAAGGCAGGGGGAGAAGGTGATGACAGAGGATGAGATGGTTGGATGGCATCACTGACTCGATGGACATGAGTTTGAGGAAGCTCTGGGAGTTGGTGATGGACAGGGAGGCCTGGCGTTCTGCGGTCCCTGGGGTCGTGAAGAGTCAGACACGACCGAGCGACTGAAACCAGCAGTCAGTAAGCAAGCGCTCTGGAGTTCTATGAGCCATTCTAACAAATCATGGAAGCGCAAAGCGGGCGTCCAGAGAGCCTCAGGTTTATAGCCAGTTGGTTAGAACAGCTAACAACCTGCACTTGTAAATGGCATCTAAAGTGGTGGGGGAACTGAGCCCTTCACCAATGCAGTCTGCACTAACCCCAGACAGAAGCCAGGTAAGTGTCAGTTTAGAAATGGTTCCTTTTGGGGGCAGAATTTGGGCTTGATAACTAATGCCCCTTCCAACCGCTTGAACAATCTATGACTCTTCTATGTTATGTATATGGTATACCACTTTTGAATTTCTTTAGTAAATAGTTATTAAGGTCTAAAGTTTCCAAAGGACCTTATACTTTCATTTACGTGAGGAAAAGGTGTGACCAATGAGAAACAAGTCACGTCACTTAAATGGTCTTTTTTGAAAGTCAAATAAGTCATAGAATACAGTTAAATCTGTGCAAAGTACCAATGACTAGAGAGATTACTGGAGGAACAACAGTCAGCCTGCGTTATTTTAGGGTCTTAATCGAAATGCATAGGTTTGCACATTTATGCACTACCTGTCCAAATTTCAGTTCAGTTTAGTCACTCAGTCATGTCTGACTCTGCGACCCCATGGACTGCAGCGCGCCAGGCTTCCCTGTCCATCACCAACTCCCAGAGCTTACTCAAACTCGAGTCCATTGAGTCAGTGATGCCATTCAACCATCTCATCCTGTTGTCCTCTTCTCCTCCTGCCTTCAGTCTTTCCCAGCATCAGGGTCTTTTCTAATGAGTCAGTTCTTCGCATCAGGTGGCCAAAGCATTGGAGTTTCACAAGTATACTATCAAGGGTGAAACAGATCACCAGCCCAGGTTGGATGCATGAGACAAGTGCTCGGGGCTGGTGCACTGGGAAGACCCAGAGGGATGGGGAACACATGTAAATCCATGGCTGATTCATGTCAATGTACGGCAAAAACCACTACAATATTGTAAAGTAATTAGCCTCCAACTAATAAAAATAAATGGAAAAAAAAAAGAACAAAGTACTGGAGTTTCAGCTTCAGCGTCCGTCCTTCCAATGAGTATTCAGGACTGATTTCCTTTAGGATGGATTGGTTAATTTCCTTGCAGTCCAAGGGACTCTCAAGAGTCTTCTCCAACACCACACAGTTCAAAAGCATCAATTCTTTGGTGCTCAGCTTTCTTTATAGTCCAACTCTCACATCCATACATGACTACTGTCCAAATTTAAAGAACATTATAAGAATACATAGACAACCAAAAAGCTCACTAACAATCCAGGAAAGCTTCCGTGCCATTACTCTTTTCTGAAATGCTGATTATCTCATCATATTTAGCTTCAAATGCTAAATGGTGTGCTAACTTCAACGGTTCTTTAAACAGAATTCACAAAGAGCTTTAAATAGCATAAGGGAAAACAGGGTAGACTACAAAAATCAGAACTATAAAACTAGATGGGTTACAAAAGATAATAGAACACTATATAAGGATTCACAGAACTGTTTCCTTTAGTACAAAAGAAATATTTCCTCCAACCTGCAAAGATTACACGCCTACAAATGTCTGTAGGTATGTCCCCATAAGAAAAGGGGAAGATATTTGTAAATAAAATTCACATGGATTATTTAACAAATATGTTATCAGAACTAACATTTCAAATATGAAGTGTAATCATCTTACCAGCTCCAAATGGCACATAAGCAAACTTCTCTACTGATGCTAGACTGTCCTCTAAGTAGCGATCAGGATTAAAGTCCAGACGCTCTACCCATGAGTCTTTGAGTCTCTGATTGACAGTAGGAGAAACACACACCTGATGTCCTGGAGGAATGGTGTACCCTGCCACAGTCTACAAATGAAAGCAACACACTTCATTAGATAACTGAAATATTCCACCAAATAATCAGATTGCTGTACAATAAAGCACTAGTATACATGAAATATACATATATTTTAAAACTGGCTGGTGGATAGGTCAGTTAAAAATTATTTTAACTCAAAATGATCTCCATATGACACAACATTGGGCTGGAAGGATATACACAAATTTTAAAAAATCAATGCCATGGGGCTGGGGATGAGATTTCAAGAAGCCTTTCACAATCCAATTTACACAGTTCCACAGTTACAATTACTTATAACAACATATATGTTATTTTAAAAAACCAAGGAAAAAACTACACTTCCATTTTAAAAGCCCTAATTGTTCAAATGTAGGGAGATCAGATGAGCATGTATACTGTCTGCAATTATGTAAAAATATTTATATATCTAGAATATGTAAAACTGAAAATTATGTACAAGTGATTATTCTATGTCTTAAAAAAAATTCTCTTCAATATTACACTATTTCTTTTTGATAAATAAAACTTGGGGCCACAGAGGAAAAGCTCTAGTCAGGAGACTCACCAGAGGAGTTTTGGCCAGTCTCATCATGGTCATTATAGGAGGCCGAAGTCTTAATGTTTCTTTTATACAGCGATCAAGTAAATTGAGATCCTTGAGCTAAAAAGAGAAAAATTTTCCAAGTTTTACAAACATTTAACTGCAACAGGATACTGCAACAGGATACAAACAAATTCAGAGTAGCTGAATAAAAAGTTTTATTACTGTCCATGGTCAGCAAAGAAAAAGAAGGCAAGATAACAGATCACTCTGAAGAATGGCTACCATATGATAAGGACCTGCAAAAATTTACCCATCTAAAACATGAAAACATTAGCAAAAATCATCAACTTCGGCTTTTTCAAAACCTGTACACAAATGTTTATAGCAGCATTATTCATAGTATCCTAAAAGTGGAAACAATCCAAATGTCAATCAACTGATGAAGACGTTAATAAAAGTGGTATAGCCACATGATGGAATGTTACTTTCACAATAAAGAAGCTAAAATACTGATACATGCTACAACATGGATTAATCTTGAAAACATGCTAAGTGAAAGAAGCTAGTCACAAGAGATCACATACTGTATGATGTGATACATACTGTATGAAATGTCCAATAGGCATGAGTGGTTGCCAGGGGCAGGGGAAATGGACTGACTGCTCATGGCCCTCTTTTGGAAGTGGCGTAAACATTTTTAAATGAGACTCTGATGATGGTTTCACAATTCTGAAAATATTTTTAAAAACCAGTGGATTATATACTTTAACAGGTGGATTTTATAGTATGTAATTAGCTATCACTATAAAAATTACTAAAAGTCAGGAATTAAAAGGAGACATCACTACTGACCTAATAGAAAAGAATGACAAGAGAATACTTTAACAACTGTTTGCCAACAAGTTAGATAGCCTAGATGAAACAAATTCCTAGGAAGACACAAACTGCCAAAAACTAACTCAAAAGGAAACAGAGCATATGAAGAGATTTGTAAAAAGTGGAGACACTGAATTAGTAATCAAAAACTGCCCACAAAGAAAGCACAGGCCTGGGTGGCTTCATTGGTTAATACCACCAGACATTTAAGAAAGCAGTAATACCAGTCCTTCACAAAGCCTTCCTAAAAGGAAAAAGAGGCGGGAACGCTTCCAAACTCCTTCTCTGAGAACCAATAATACCCTGATACCAAAATCTGTCAAAGACGTAATACAACTCCAGCCCACTATCCCCTGTGAATATAGTCCAAAAGTCCTCAACAAAACACCAGCAAACAGATCCAGGATTAGGACATTTCAGGGGAGGCTATGGGGAATTTTCTAAAAATAATCAATTTAATCTACAGTACATAGAAGATCCCAAATTGTCCCCTTTAAAAATCAGCCACACACACACAGTATCATAAGCAGCAATGAAACTGAAAATCCCACAAACCTGGTCATAAGTCAGAGGAGGCAGATTCTCGCCACAGACTGTTTTCTGTTCTAAGAAACATTTTTCTTGAAGTGTTTTGTCTCTGGCCAAAAAGAAGCCCATCCAGGCACTGGTAGTTGAGGAAGTATGCTGCCCTGCCAAGAGCAGTCCAATAAGCATGCCTGCTACTTCATCATCCGTCAGAGGACGCCCATCCCTACAGAATGGACCACATACACAAATTTAACATTTGCAGATGCACTTTATACCCCAACCTTTACATAAAAATTAGTTCATTTTTTCTCTTGCATTTACCCATCACAAGTCCAAATTTATTTTCCCCTTTAGAGAAGAGAGGCCAATAAAAAATATGACATTAATTACAAAGACTTCATTGCAGTTTACTAACAAACTTTTCACATGCACAGTACTAAATTCCAGTAAGGTACAGGATTCCAGTAATTTAGGTCTCATCCATTTAAGAAGTTCAAAGGTCATAGCTACTAATTTTTGCCAGTATTATTACTTTTTAAATGTACTTAAATGTACATTTTAAATGTACTTAAATGTACATGTAGTTAAATGTATTTAACTATATTTTATGTATTTTATGTGGAATTTCCTGCTTCAGTTTAATATGTGATTTGAAGAGCTCTTACTTGTAAGTAGACTCTAATAAAGTTTGGAGAATGTCATCAATTTTTTCTCCTGACTCTCTGCGTTTCTGGATTGCCTTGTAGAAAATATTCTTGATCTCCCGATGAGCTCTGTCCCTGCGTCTGTAATTCAAACATGAAGATGACTTTAAAAAATTAAGAAATACTTTCAAGCATCAATTGAAAAAACTCAGAACCAAGAGAAAAAAAAAATCCATGAGAATCTTATATTGTTAGGAATTTCTAAGGTCCTTAAGGACAGGAAATGTGTTATACATATCCCTGATTCTGAACACACTACCTATGTTATAACTGAAGACTCAAATGATTATTCCTTTACAGCCATTTTCCATTTTAAAAGAAAGCAGAAATACACCTTTACATTAACATGAAATCCCAGTTTCAAGCAAATTAATTCTTAAAGTGGACAGACTCACTCTGGTTCTTCTATAGGATTTAAGATTTGAATAACTCCCATTCCTCACTTGAACAGAAATGAACCAATAAAGGCTACTAATAGGCAAAACACTAAGCTACAAGTCAAGTCCTACAGCAGTGTCTCTCTGTATCACACATGATCCGGGCCTTTAAGGAGATCACAACACAAGGAGACAAAGAGGTAGGAATACTTTGAAACAAAGAAACTTCTCAACAAACTACAAATTAGTCAACTACTTTCAAGTGCTAAGAAGGCTGCATCACTTCTAGGTAAGAGTTCAGGAACTTTCCTGAGTACAAGGAATACATGGGACAAGTACGTTTTAAAATATCAGGACAGACAAATTAACCCTTCTAAAACTGAAACTTAACCTTAAATGAGCTCACTATGTAAAAAAAAATGTTGAATTCTTACAGAAGAAGGGAGGCTCATAATCTCCCCCAATTTGTTTCTATATTTAATTTTTATTTTTGCTAATGCAAAGCAAACCAACAGCACAGTAATTAAACAAAGTGAAATGACCAAGCATCGTCTCTTTATCCATACCTGAAACTAGGCAGAGGGAGCCAGCCTGGCAAAAGCCAGGCTGCGTGGCTAAAACCTCCATCCAAATCCGCATACAGTTGTGCCACCTTCTCATTGAGTTGACTTCTGATTTCCTTTCCATGTAAACAATGGCTGGCTGTTAAAATTATGAGCTCAGAAAGAGCTTCAAACAAATCTAGAGGGGAAAAGATCATTCCCGTTACCATTGCCAAAAATTCTTTTGAAATGTTGTTTTCTTAGAGATGCAAAAGTACTGTGAAGGAAATGAGAATAAAAGTTTAACTCATTAACCAACAAAATCCTATTCACACCACTGAAAGAAGCATGTAGACAGGCTACAATAAAGAGAAACCAAAGGCAGTCCCCCTCCGTGGATAGCCAAGACAGATGCCACAGAGGTAACTAAAATCTCACTCACCCTCACAAGCCCTTCATCTCAAAAAGAAAAAGAAGATAAAAATGAATGTGGTGGCTAATTCATTTCAATGTATGACAAAAACTACTGTAATGATGTAAAGTAATTAGCCTCCAACTAATAAAAATAAATGGAAAAAAAAAAAAGAAATTAAAAAAAAAAAATGAATGTGGTTATCTGAGTTCCAGGTCACAGGATAATGAAGGCAATAAAAAGGTTATCTAGTACACAAGGGGATAAAAAGATGCTTTCTAAGAAAGAGCAGTCCAAAGACTGAAGAATGGATTTTCCCCAGATCAAAAGTGGGAAATTCATAAGTGACAAAAAAATGAAGTCTTGAAAAAGTCTTAGAACTAACTAATCACCATCTTGTATATGCAAACATTAGAGACAGATGCATCAGGTAAGCACACCCTTTAAAAGTCATAACAATTACCCAGTCGACATCCTGTTCTTTAATTCCATGTTCACCAAACGAACTTTGAGTTATCATTTGGCTTTCCAATTAGATTGCCAGTAAAAAGAAGTCCAGCAAATATTATGCTGTTCTTGGTCCCATAATTGCATCTCACTTGTATTTATTCAGTTAGCATTCTCATTTATACATCAGCTTCTTGTAGAATACCAAGTATGTCACATAAACTTAGGTCTATTAAATAAAACCAGGTTCCTGGACCTTTTATAGAAGCTGAAGACTAGACCAGAGTGTGACGACCCACGCGGTAGTCTTACTGCCCTGCAGACAGATGCTGCTTCCTCGCCAGGGCTATGGCAATGCTCTCGATGGCAACACTTAACTGCAGTCCAATATAAAAACTGGATTCACAGAGTCCAGAGAATATTACGTCACATGCAATATAACTTTCTCACATAAGGTGAGAAAGCATATAATATGTTTTTTAGAGATTTCTATTGGGAACAGCTAAAATCGCTTTTGGTAGTACAGCAAGCTTATGTATTTAAACTTACATTTATGTTGAAATAAATCATTCCCATACAACATTAGAAAAATAATGTATTACATATATAATTTAATCTTTTAGGCTTCAACTTGCTGACATGAAGGGCAAATTTTTAAATTTTATATATTATCTTAAAATGACCTTGAATGTAAGTTTTACATTTGGTTTATTTCAAAATTCAATCATGAATCATTTTTATGTAATTCACACAATTGCTGCTGCTGCTGCTAAGTCGCTTCAGTCGTGTCCAACTCTGTGTGACCCCATAGACGGCAGCCCACCAAGGCTCCCCCGTCGCTGGGATTCTCCAGGCAAGAACACTGGAGTGGGTTGCCATTTTCTTCTCCAGTGCATGAGAGTGAAAAGTGGAAGTGAAGTCGTTCAGTCATGTCCGACTCTTAGCGACCCCATGGATTGCAGCCTACCAGGCTCCTCCGTCCATGGGATTTTCCAGGCAAGAGCACTGGAGTGGGTTGCCATTGCCTTCTCCAAATTCACACAATTGAGCTAAATAATATGCACATTAATTAAAATATTTTAAGATTTTGCTAAGTGAGCAGCAATAATTACTTCCTCTCAAGTCTTTTAACTCCATAACATGTTCATTTCATTAAATATAAGGTGGTTTTGCTTCCCAGGAGGGTGAGTGGTGAAGAGCCCACCTGCCAATGCAGGAGACGTAACAGATGCGGATTCAATCCATGGATCAGGAAGACCCCCTGGAGGAGGGCATGGCACCCCACTCCAGTATTCTTGCCTGGAGAATCCCATGGACAGAGGAGCCTGGGGGGCTACAGTGCATGGGGTGGCAAAGAGTCAGACACGACTGAAGCGATTCAGCATGCAAGTGTGCAAGGTGGTTTTACATGTGTTGTAGTTTGTTCTTTACACACACATACACACACACATTCTTAAAACTTCTAGTCACAGAAAAGTAGACGTATTAGGACAAACGAAAAACCAAAATATTGTGCTTACTTTTTTCTCCACTTTCTCCCCAACTTTCAAAGTATTCTTTTGTTTCTTTTTCAATTATAGAAACGTGCTGTCTAAAGTGGGCTATGTTAAGACCACTTTTCAACATTTTCTTCTGCTCCAAAAAAACCTTCAAAATATTGAGTATACAAGTATTAAAACACAGTTCTCTTTTATCATGAGACTCATTTGGGTTATTATAACTCTTTAATACTCAAAGAAAGCAATTTTCTGAAAAATTGAAAACAAAGATAAAATAATTTTCTTCACCGCACCAGATAAAACTTCATGCATATATCTGAAGTAACGTGTAGTAGACACATGCTATGCAGGTTCAATTCAAATGATAAATTAGGAACCCCACTTCTGGCCCTCCTTCCTATATATACATGCTTTCCCCACTCTTGACTCCAAGGCTGCCTCCTCCTATTTCATTATATCCTAGTCTTCCAACCCAACCTAGATGCCAACACAATCTCCCAAAGGTCCATTATGCTTTGCTAATATTTTTATCCTCTTTCACATATTCTACTATTTATTCCAAAACAAATATCATTCCTCACTCACACTATCTTCCAAAAGTTTAATTAGAATGTAATACAGTGGGAATAAATTCACACTAATACAATAAACCCTTTGGGAAAGTTCTTAAAATAGCACTTCTGGTATATCCAACCAGAGGGATTAACCTAGGCTTTCGCTTTTGGTCTTTTTTTTGTCTTGTTTTGTTTTGTTTGTTTTCGCTTTTGATCTTAAGGAGAGCTGTTCATTCCCCCATAGCTCCTCAATCCCCAGAAGCAACACTTAATGGCAATTCTCAGCTGCTACACTAGAGTACTGGGTAATGCATGGTACATTGATAGCCAGAGCCTGCACCAAGTAATTAAGCTAATTATTGGATCTGCATTTTATACCAAGTTGCAGCACTTAAATATTTGCCTTTGGGGGAGCAAAGAAATCACACAAACTTCTAAAACCAACAACCTCTAGCTCAAAAGAGCTCTCATCCTAGAATTTCAGGTAGGAGGTGGGAAAGTATTAATAAGAGGCCCTTCTGATGAAATGAGTTTTTCCCTCTTACTACCTCAAATCTAATGCTAACACACTAAGTTCTCATTGATCTATTAATATTGCTTTGCACAGGAAGTCCTTTAAAATTGCTTAGTCCACGCCAGCAGCTATAAAGCAAAATACCCATTCTGTCAGCTACCCTTGGTTTTCCTTCTCATAAATGCCTCCTGATTCTTCAGAGTTTTGAGGCAAGGAACAATCTCTTCTACACGTTAGCAGCAGAGTTTATACTACTAGCTATAAATTGTATAGTGTAGATTTGTCTTTCTTCAAGTTAACTGTGTCACCTACTGGATTAGGCACATCATAGGCAACTCCCTTCCCAAACACAGGTGTTGTCAGACGGCTGTAGACATCCTCGGCATTCAAGTCTTCGTTTTTACTATTAAAAAGCAGTGCGGCAGCCTCACTCCCCAGCAGGTAGGTAAACGTCTTGCCCACCATGGTAAAACTAAATACAGGTCCATACTGAAGAGAGAAAAGTACCCATAGTGACGTTACCAAAAAATCTGCAAGCGCTAAGACATTCGTCTTAAATAACAAAATAATACATTGTTGAAGATCAAAACATTCACAAACCTTAATGCAATTCTTCCCCCTGTCTGTCCAAATGTATAATTATGTTCATCCAGTTCCAAATAAAACATAAATAAAACTTTCTATTCTGCTTTTTTCACTCCTTACATTGAAAATATTTTCTTTCACAGACATCATATTAACTGTTCTTTCTATGGTTGATATGTCCATTTTTTATTTATTATAGATAATTATGTAATGAATATCTCTGAGAATATATTTTCTCTTTGATTAAAGGTAACTTTACAGGAGTAGCCAAAAAATATGACCTTTCGTAAAGTCCTTGCTATGTGAAGATACCAGAATTTTATTTAGTTATGAGACCTACCACTATCTCACCAACACTGAATGATCTCATTTTTAATTTTTTTGTTCATCTGGTTAGGTGCTAAATGCTTTGCTTTGCAGTTTTCTGATTACCATTAAAGATTTCAGTTACTGGGGATACAATCATGAACAAAAATACTGTCTGTGACTCAAGAAACTCCAGTCTATTTAAAAAGATACAACTCAATTGAATAATCGCATTAACAAATGTAAAATTACAAATGTGACAAGTACTACACAAAGGAAAGCAACTCTTCGATGAGAGAACTGATAAAAGGGACTAAAAATAGAAAAAGACACCAGAGCTGAGGCCTAAAGCATGGGTAGGGGCAGTAGTTAGCCTGAAGGCAGAGCATGCGCAGAGTTCTAAAGGTAAAAGAGAAGGCAAGGATCCGATGAGGGTGGAGGCTATCTAGTAGGGCCTGCCCCATACACAGCCTTAGAAGCCACATGCAGGGAACTGTATCCTGGCAAGCAACGGAATGAGATGGAAGGTCTTAAACTGCATGGGAAAGATACTACTCTGTGCATATTTTAAAAGAAAGATCCCTCTGACTCCTGGATGGGGAGGAGGGAGGGACAGGAGCTGAAGGAAAGCCAGACGACCAGCGAGCCTGTCACAGGAACCTGCTGATGAGCACTTGGGACGATGGAATGGAGGGGGCGATGGAATGGAGGCAGTGGAGACAGCAGCAGAAGGATGCAGAATTATTTTGAAGAGAAAATCTGCAGGTTTGGCAATGAATTGCTGGATGGAGCAGGAAGTATCAAGAGTGAATCCTAAGCTCCTGGTACGTTGCAAAACTGGTAGAACAATGAGGAGCAAAGTGAACAGGAAGGACGATTGGGATTAGAGAGAAAAATCACAGGGTCAGATTGTTTAAATGTCTGATTTCAGGTGACTTTGGACAACTGAGAAAAAATCATGTGGGAGGTGGATATTCAGGTCTGAAGACCAAAGGAGAGACCTGAATTGGAGACATTAATTTGGGTGTCATTTACATCTGGTTGGGCTTTCCAGGTGCCTGTCAATACAAAAGATGCGGGTTCAATCCCTGAGTTGGGAAGATTCCCTGGAGAAGGGAATGGCAACCCACTCCAGTATTCTTGCCTGGGTAATTCCAAAGACAGAGGAAGCTGGTGGGTCACAGTCCACGGGGTCACAAAGGGTCAGACACAACTGAGGGACTAACACTTTCACACTGTGACTTCATGTGGCTAAAAACTGAAGCTACAGGTAGAGACAAGATCAGCTAGGAAAGAATAAAAGCCAAGGACCAAACCTCAGTGAATCCCAACAGTCAATGGCCAAGCGTGAGCCCACAAATGCGTTAGGAAAGCAGCATTCACAGAAGCAGAAGGAAAAGTGAGAGAAGGCACAGCTAAGGCAGGAGTGGTCATCACTGATACATACAGCTCCGCCCACTGCATTAGGACATGGTGCTCATTAGTGAAGGGGTTGAAAGACAGACTAGAGTGGACTAAAGAGTGAGGAGGAGGTGTGGAAATAGAGACCAAGTACAGAAACCTGCTGAAGGGGGAGGGACATGGGGGGGGGGTCAGAAAATTCCAGATGCATGGTTAAAAAAAAGGGTCAATTATTAATAGTATCCATGTTAACTGTGATCAGTGAATACAAAATTGAGGCCAGTGGTTTTTAAACCATAGTTGCCAGGACTAAATTTCCTCAGAGATAATCCCAGAACAAAGGAGAACATAAGAGGGTCTCTAAGACCCCTCCAGCTCTTAATCCAGAGCAGCTCCAATTTTATCTGTTACTTGTACTAGGGATAGGCATAAGATTACTTTTTTAAAAAAAATATTCCACTATTTAAAAGAAAATTGGAAAAGCACTAATTTCTTTTCCTTTAATGATCTGTAACACTTACCTTCTCATATGCATCTTCTAGGAATTCAATTGGACTTTTCCCAAATGCTATAGCATGTCCAAGGAATGGAATTGGAGAGAAAATGTATGGTGGACTTTTCTACAAAAGAAAACAAAAAAACTTCAAGTTTACATTTCCTATTATAAGACATTCAGTTTAGTTTCACAATTCAAAAAGAAAGAAAGAAGTTTGTCCTTAATATTAAGAAGTTACCAAAAGATGAAGCAGCAAAAGTAACTTCACAACAAGCAAACCACAAATACCTTAGAGAGAGCAGCTTTGGGAAAAAGAAGAGAAACTAAAAACCTGGTATAAGATAAATGACCAGACAAACATCACAGTACTGCAATTATTAATGTTGAACACTTTCTAGAATATGCCCAGTATTATCAGTGGCTCTAGGCAACTTTCCTGACCGTAAGTAAAAACAACACTAAACTCAAACTATGGTTTCTTGAGCACTTATTTCTACTACCAGTCACAATTTTAGTCCCAAAATCCTGCCTAAATCTTTAGTCCCACAATGGGAAAAAAAAACAGAGTAACTTGAAGGAAAGAAGGGAAATGTTTAAGATTCCTCAGTATGGTCAACAGAACACATTATCATGGTTCTTTCAAGGAATGATCTAGATCCATTGATTTTAAAGAGAGAGAAAATCAGTTCTAGCAGGAACATTTTATTTATTTATTTTTTTAGCAGGAACATTTTAGCACTCACTATGAAAGGTATTTCTGGGCTTCCCACATAGCTCAGTGGTAAAGAATCAACCTGCCAAAGCAGGAGATGTAAGTTCTGGCCGGGAAGATCACCTGGAGGAAATGACAACCCACTCTAGTATTCTTGCCTGGAGAATTCCATGGACAGAGGAGCCAGGCAGGCTACAGTCCATGGGGCTGCAGAGTCGGACACGAATGATCCATTGAGTATGCGGACTTAAAATGTACTTCAGATGCCCCAAAATGAGACTCACAGATTAGAGCATCAAGTCTCCTGAAATCAAATATGCAGTTATGGAAAAGGACAATAGCCCTCATATCTTTCGTAGTCTCAAAGAGAAAGGAGCTCTACAAACTCACTCTTTGGACAATAGTAGCAACAATCTTAAAATACTACAGTTGTCTTTCCAAAGATAACACTTCCTCAAAAATACCACACATGGGGGGAGGGGGGAATAGAACTGCCTCATGCCTGTTTTAGGTCAAACAAAAATCATTTCAGAAACTACTTGGTCAACAGTTTGTGATTTCCACTGTCAGTAAAAAAATGGATTCTATTGTCAGTGCTACTTGGTTTGGCTAAAAACGCATTCATCACATACATTCGGGAAATAGAAGCCCGTGGTCAGTAAAGGCTCTAAGTTAGAGAATCTGATATTTTATTAGCATCACATGAAGGTCCCTGCAACACTCATCACGCTCACTCTACCAAACTCAACACATTCCTTTCCACACTGATGTAAAATCGGCACTAGGGGTAACAGCCCATAGAACACTGAACCACTCAAGGGCAGCCACCCAGGATGACGACCACCAGGGCCGAAGCTGCCCAAAACATCAACAGGGCCCCCACCAGGGCTGAAACACCCCTTACGGCGGCCAGTACCGTCACCGGACGCTCAGGGCCACAGCCGCCACCCCGACCCTGGCCATTAGGGCTACCGGTAGTGCCCTGGTCAACAGAGCCATCACTGAGACCACAGTCGCAGTAAACACGAGCCCAACGAGGCCGAGGTACGCGACCGACATCAGGGCACCCAGCACCGAGCTCAGCAAGGTCAGGGCAGTCGCGACCGCCCGCGCCACCACAATCGGGGCTGCTGCCCCTCGACCCCCGCCCAACGCCAGCCTCCAGCGCGCCCGCCGCCACAGCCCGCCAGCACCGCGGTGCCAGCCCCTCGCTAGCTCTTCGGTCGCCCTGGTCGCAGCGTCCCCCCAGGAGAGCCCCCAGGGGTGCACGTACCGCCCCAGCCGGCAGTGGTGGGGCCAGGTGGCCAACCGCGAGGCGGAGTAGGTAGACCAGACTGAGAGTGAAGGCGCAGGCGATGAGCAGCATGGATGGGAGGTTGCCGCCCGTTACTTGCTCCATAGCCTGCCCCAGCACTGACCCGCCAGCCTGCAGTAAGTCCAGCATCACCATCCTGGCCGCCACCCCCGCGTCAGTTTGCCAGAGACGCTGGAGGCCAAGGTCGCCGCGGCTCCTCCAAACCCACGGAGGAAGAGAGGCCGGCTGACGGGCGTTAGGAGGCGGCCCCGGCCAGCAGGTCTCCTACTAAGCCCAGCCCCACGCACTATAACTTCTGGCTCGTTCGCGCACCACCCTGCACGTCACAGAACAGGGCGGGGCCTGCAGCTGGCCACGCCCCCTAAATAGAGCCACCATGCCGAAGTCTCCTTGCGCGGCGAGAGAGAGGACCTGAAGAATCAGGCTGCACCTGTGGCACGAGGAGTGCAGAGAAAGAAGAGAAACATAGGCTTAAGAGGAGGCCAACCTAAGAATCGCGAGCCACCCGAACCTGTGTGCCTGGGTGTCGGGAGCCAGGACACGGCACCGTGATGGGACGGGCGGAAGGATTTCAGGGAGAGGGTTGCGGCGTGGCGGAGGCGGCGGCGCGCGTTCGGTGATTGCACCGCGCGCGGCTGAGGTGATCTCGGCCTATGTGGCGTCAGCGGGGCGGGTGGCTGGGGCGCCGCCCCCTGCCTGGGCGCTCGAGGGCGCCGCACCTGAACCCTTTGGAGGGCAGCGTCCTGGGCTTTCGGAAAGTTCCAAATGTCATCCGCGATAAAGGGAGATTGTGAAAGACGCCTTTACGCCCTGAAGGTTGGGACGCTGAGGTCAGTCCCATCTCACCTCGAATAAAACCAGACAGGTATGCATATGCAGTGATAGAGCTAGCAAGTCGTGGTTATTGGGTGTTCTGCGTCTAACAGAAGCAGATTTTGCAAGCTAGGTTTATATGTTACAGGCCATCGTGACCTGTTTGAGGCAGTATTTCCCAAGAACGCCACTTATTCTGGCTGTTTAGGGCCAGACAGATTTTGAAACGGAAGTTCGGACCTCCTGTTACACGCACCGAGCTCATCCACTCTTGTGGTTTCAAATAAACATGGGTGTAAAATGACCGCCAAGTGGAACCCTCCTGTTGGTTAACTGTCACCAGCCCCTGGCCAGATTCATTGCTTTATACAGTCAACGTTAAGAGCTGGTGCCGGGCCTGGCCCTGGGAATACAGCAGTGAATGAGAAAACTGCGAGGCCCAGTGGAAGGAGCAGTAAACAACCAGTTGCCTGTTCTGACTCCTCTGGAGATCTGATGCTCGTATCAGATGAGTAACGCCAAGTAAACTCATAAATCTTAACTCACCTGGCTGCCAGCCCGCTCCTCCGTACTGCATCTGTAGGAGGGGCACCGGTGGCCACCAAACTGCCCTCCTGCGCTGTGCATCACAGCTCATCAGTCACCAAGTCCTGTAATTCCACTACCTTAAAGGTTGCTCCATTCTTGCCACTGCCTTGAGTCCCGCCCTGGTCATTGCTTGTCTGTGTTACTGCAGTCGTAGGCCAACTGGACCCTAGTCCTTGTCTTTACCTTCCACGAAGGCTACCGTTTCTCCTGTCACTAAAGCTGTGCTGCAGTTGACTTCATCAGTTTCCTCTGTTACCAGATGAACTTNGGCCAACTGGACCCTAGTCCTTGTCTTTACCTTCCACGAAGGCTACCGTTTCTCCTGTCACTAAAGCTGTGCTGCAGTTGACTTCATCAGTTTCCTCTGTTACCAGATGAACTTGAGAATAGGGACCATATGTTAACTGTTTTTATATTCTGCATTTATTCTGATTCATAGCTGTTCACAAAGTGTGGTTCATGGCCTTCTGGGTATCCCCAGGACCCCAGGGGTGTCTGCAAAGTCAAAACTCTTTATAATACGTGATTTACTTTTTCACTGTTGGAATTTGCAGTGATGGTGTCAAATCAGTAGTCAATAGAACTTCTGGGGCTTTAGCACAAACTGATGGTAAGTGGCACCAAACTCTAGTAGTCGTTACTTTTCACTGCCATGCGCTTGGAGTAGAAAAACATTGCTTGCTTCACTTAAGAATGTTGATGAAATCATAAGAATTCCTTTTTAAAGGGGTATTTTAAAGCAAGAATACTGAAGTGGGTTGCCATTTCTTCCTCCAGGGGATCTTCCTGACTCAGGGATTGAACCTGTGTCCTGTATCTCCTGCATTAGCAGGCGCATTCTTTACCCACTGAGCCACCTGGAAAGCCCCAGCTCCTTTTTCTGTGGAATGGCATATTTGTGCTTGAAAGAACAAGTGGCAGATTTTGGTCATTCAGAGTTGGGTATTTGACAGATGTTTTCTTGAAAATGAAGTCAGCCTCTCCTTTCAAGGAAAACCACTGGCGGTATTTGTTGTCAATGATAAAATTAAAGTGTTCAAATAAAAATTAAGAATTTTAGAAAACTTACATCTGCCTATATGAACTTGACAACTTACCAATTCTTGAGACTTCTCTATAGAGGAAATTTAGTTGCAAGTGCTGTTTGTGTAGTAAAATGTGTCTACATATTGAATCTTTGTATAATTACAAGAGCCCATATTTTCAAATGTCCGGTACATAATGTTGCAAGATCACGCATGAATGAAACAGCCATTCAAAATACAAGGGAAGGCCCTCTCTTCACTGACCTAGCACTGTGTCCAGAACTGCCCTCATTCTTGTCATGCCCCAGCAAAATGCACAGGAGTGTAAGAGACACACGGAGGAGTGTCTCCCAACAATGCCTGCCCTTCTTTATATAGCTCTTTGTTATGAATTGAATGTTTACATGCCCCCAGAATTCTTATGTTGAAGGCCCCAACCCCTAATGTGACTGTTTTTGGAGATAAGACCTGTGAGGCAGAGATAATCATTAAATTAGATTATAAGGTTGGGACCCTAATCTGATAGGGCTGATGTCCTTAGAAGATGAAGAGATGCCATCTGCTTGCTCTCTCCATTATGCGAGGACACCATGGAAGGACACATCTGCAAGCCAGGAAGACCGTTTCATCAGGAACCAGATCACCCTGTGTCTTGATCCTGAGCTTCCTGGCCTCCAGAACTGTGAGAAATAAATTTCTGTTGTTACACCCAATCTGTGGTATTTTGTTATGGCAGCCCATGCTGACTAATCTACTTATCTGGACAATTCTCACCTACCCTGTTCTGGAATTATGATTTAGGTATTTCTGCTCTGTGTTCTCATAGTACTTTCTTTTTATCTCTATTATGACACATGTCACACTCGAGGTATTCAAAAATTCACGTGAATATAAAAAAAAAATTATTGAGCTCTTACCATAGGCCAAAGCACTCACCTTGGTACTGGGTACAGAGTTGTGAATAAAAAGTCTTTCTTTTCATGGGGCTAATAAAGACATAAACTTAAGTTTAAGATAAGCATGGCAATTTGATTGAGAAAGACTTAGGGGAAAGCAGCTACTTGTAGTTTGGGGGTCAGGGAAGACTTCGTTAAGAAGGTAACACTTGAGCTGAGACCTGGATAGTGACAAGGGTAAGTTCATGAGAGAATCAAAAGGAAGAGTATTCTAGGCAGAAGGAACAGCAAGTGCAAAGACCCTGGGTTAGGAATGTGCAAACTGGCTGTTCAAGAAATAGAATAGGTAGCAAATGTGACTGGGAATGGTGGGTGAAGGGCAGAAAGATAAGCACCATAACCAGAGAACCAGATATATATCTTTCAACTATGGTGTGTGGGATTTAATTTAAAGATTTCAGCATAGCAGTGTGGTATTATGTATTAATGTATGTGCAGGCAGTTGCTACAATATGGAATTTAATTCTTAGGATGGTCAGCTATTGTTTGAATAAGAAAGGCCATATCAGAGACAGCCACTAAAAGCTAGATACCAGGGACTTTCCTAATTTTCAGAGTGAATGTTAGAAATGTGTTTTCATTGCTAAAATTATATATGGTATGTAAATATAGAATAAAATACTATATGGGTTTTTAACTGTAGAAATTAGTGACATTTTATATATAGCATTGGCTAAAATATTTGAGACACTCCTGAATATACAAATTCTCTCCAAAAAGCCCAACTTAAAAAATAGGCAAAGAACTTGGATAGATATTACTTCAAAGAAGATATACAAATAGCCAATAAACATATGAAAAAAAGTTCACCATTACTAATCAGTTCAGTTCAGTTCAGTTCAGTCGCTCAGTCATGTCCCACTCTTTGCAACCCCATGAATCTCAGCATGCCAGGCCTCCCTGTTCATCACCAACTTCCAGAGTTTACTCAAACTCGTGTCCATCGAGCCAGTGATGCCATCCAGCCATCTCATCCTCTGTCGTCCCCTTCTCCTCCTGCCCCCACTCCCTCCCAGCATCAGGGTCTTTTCCAAAGAGTCAGCTCTCCACATGAGGTAAATGCAAACCAAGACCACAATGAAATACCACTTTATATCCATTAGAATGGCTGTTATAAAAATGCAGAAAATAACAAGTCTTACCAAGATAAGTGCACTCTTGTGCACTTCTGGTGAGGATGTAAAATTGTGCAGTCATTTTGGAAAACAGCATGGTGATTCCTCAAAAAATTAATCATAAAATTACCATATGATCCAGCAATTTCTCCATGGTGATGCTAGTGCAGAAGGAGCAAGAGATGCAGGTTCAATCCTGGTTTGGGAAGATCCCCTGGAGTAGGAAATGGCAACCTGCTCCAGTACTCTTGCCTGGAACATCCCATGGACAGAAGAGCCTGGTGGGCTACTGTCCATGGGACTGCAAAGAATTGGAAAAGTCTTTGGCTGCAAAGAGTTGGCTGAGCACACACACCATCAGCCAGCAATTTCACTTCTGGATATATATCCAAAAGAGCTGAAAGTTTGGACTTGAACAAAAGTTTGTACACCCATGTTTATAGCAGTATTATTCACAAAAACCAAACAGTGGAAGTAACTCAAGTGTCTATCAATAGATAAATGGATAAACAAAATATGGCATAAATGCACAATGGAATATTGTTCAAGCTTAAAAGTGAATGAAATTCTGATATATGCTACAACATAGATAAACCCTGAAGACATTATGCTAAGTGAAATAAGCCTGACATAAAAAGACAAATATTGTATGATTCCATTTCTATGAGATACTTGGGAGACAGAAAGTAGAATGGTGTTTACAGGGCTGAGGAGAAGCGCAAAGGGTTAATGGGTTTGAAGTTTCAGTATAGGATGATGAAAAAGTTCTGGAGGTGAATGGCAGCAATTGTTGCATAATACTGTCAA